ATATGAGTCAGCAGTTCAGCTTTCTACACAGAATCCCTAAAGCAATTACCCTATTGCTCCCAATTATAATATGTGCTTAGAGGCAAGAAGCCTGCTGTCAAATTTAGAATTTCCTTTTCTATCTCCATATTCAAAATAATACATTTTGCTTTCATGCTGAAAATGATGCACAGAATTTAGAGAGACATCATTTCAGAAACAATTTTTATTTCTGAAGTAGTTCAGTCCAATTAGGTGTGTGTGTGTGTGTGTGTGTGTGTGTGTGTGTGTGTTTGCCTGCGCGTGCTGTACACCTAGGAGGACTAGAACCAAAAAATAGGACAGGACTCCTGGACATTTAATGTACAGATCAGGATATGTTAATAGTTGTAACCTGACACATTTTCTGACATTCTCTTTTCCATTCAATTACAGTTATGGGAAAGTCCCATCTCCATTTCCATCTATCCTACCCTAGGCTTACTTAGTTTCTCTATTTCAGGGATGGCCAAATCTTGCCGTCCAGAAATTTTTAGATGCCAACTGCCATAATTTATTTTACCACTTCCTATGCTGGCTAGGGGTTAATGGGAGCTGTAGGCCATAAATATCTGATAGGCACAATTGTTCAGTCTCATTTGCTTCCACAGAAGTTCAGTTTCACTATTCTCTTTTCAGAACTGGGCGTGTATTTGCAATGTAATTTCTAGTTCACAGAGCTCTCTTAAATAAATAACATATAATAAACTACTCCATATATTGTTATTTGTTGATGTTTCTTTGGAAACAGGTTGTAGGTTGTGCACAGATACAATCTCACAAGGTTTTGACCCCTTATGATAATCGAAACCTGGACTTTCAACCGATGTTGAGAAGCATGTAAGAAAAGTACTCCTGGAATATAACAAGTCTAACTAGTTTAACCATATGCATCCAACTGGCTTTCCTTCCCCATATGCCTCCTTTATTTATAGAATGGCTGGTCAATCTAGTGTGCAATTTAAAATAACAAAAGCAAATTCAACCATACTGATGCTTTTAAAAAAATCACAACCATGGAGATGAGTAGCCTTACCCACTTTGTAGCAGAGAATTCAGGATTTTTTTACTGCCTCTCACTGCCAGTAATTGCCCTTACATGGGTTTTTTAGTGAATGGAAAGACTAATATGGCTGTAGCCTCAAAACAGAGGCCAATAAAGGCGGGGGGGGGGGGGGGGAGAGGCAGAATGAGAATAAAAACTGACAAACATAGAAATAACATTCCCTGGAAAATATGTTGAATAAGTTGATTAGTTCAAACAGCTTTAGAATAGAACTAGTAGCGCAAATGTAAAGACAGAGCTGGTAGCGAAAATGTTAGGTAACTTGTTGGGTTGCCGTAGGCATTTGAGAGATTATATAGGATTTGAGAAAATAAACTCAATAGTAATGCTTTATATAACTCACTTCTGTGTCATTCAAAATTCAGGACACTGAAGAAACTGTGTGGAAGAAAACCCTGTTTAGCAGAGCTAGGCTGGCTGGGGAAAATCTGACAGGTCACTAGGGAACGCAGACAAAATAAGTATATCAATTCAGACCTCATCTGACAATGAATGATGATATAAGGAATGGAAGGCTACAGTGGTTCAACCATAGATAGGTACAGAATAGTAAAGACTTGAATCTAGAAATGACTATAAGGAAAGCACCAAAAGGAAAATGAAAAGGAAGAAAAGCTGTCACTGTAAAGAATGATGGTCTCTCAACAAAACTGAACAGCTTCTAGCTCTAAGAAATCAGACTTGTCAGTCAGCATAGCTTTCATGGATATTTCTTCCACATGGAAAAGGCATATGTCCCGTGTGTACAGGAAATATCTACTTTAACATGTATATACACATGATAGGAAAACACAATTTCTCATTAAATATGCAAATGGCAAGAGTAACAAAAAGGGCTGTGCTTTCATGTTATGATATGCATGTATTTTTCTATAAAATGAGCTCTTTGGAACAAGGGTGACCAGCATTCATCCCTTCATATGTTGTTAGACTGCGATTGCCAATAGCTCTGCATAGTTAAAGGCGTTGAATGCTGAGAAATGCAGCCCAACAGCACCTAGAGAACTGCATGATTCCCATCCCTACTATAGGAGATTTTTGTGAGTGAAGTAGTCTTCACTTAGTTGTGCACTAAACTGTCAGCCAGACACAATGGATGATGCTCACCTTTATTTTTTCCTGTCCATCAGCCCAGGGGTACTTTCACACTATACAATTAGCAGCACTATAATTCCACTTTAGCTGTTATGGCTACTCGTGGTTGCAGCTGGAAGGGGCACTAGGATGATTCAGTTGACAATTCTGAACACTCCTTTCCTAAACTGCAAACCCCATGATTCCATAGGATGTTGCCATAGAAGTTATGGTAGAATTATAGTGCTACAGCTGCTTAGTACAACTGGCTCCTGGCTGTTGTGAACAAATGCCTGGATTCAGGATTGGACTGGACAAGGACCATGAATTGGGACTGGATAATATAAGACAGAAGTAGAATTATTACTTGATATTCTGTGTGTCAGTTGAGTGACATTAAAACTGCTTTAGAGATGTTTGCACTCTAAAATCAGGTTTGCAGTTTAGAAGTACTTTTAGATCCAAAACTAGATGTGTTCTAGATTTCTGGTTTGAATCAACCCATAAGTTAGAGAGTGCCTAGAGTTATCCCACTCCATTGCCTCTTTCCTCATATGGAAAGTGACAAGTCTGAAAAGGCAGCATTCCTATTCACATGGAAAGTCTTCACACAAGTAAGAACACTGTCTCCCCAGTCCCCAAGAAGTATTTTGTCACTTGGAAGATCTCTACACTTCTGCTCTTCAAATTTGGTCCTTTAGATGTGAGGAAAGGGTTATGGAGGGTGTTGGAGCTGGATAGTTTCCTCTTCACATATTGATTCAAGCCTTGTAAATAACACATGAATAGGGCACTTGTCCCCAGAGTCACAGGTAGCCTGAATCACTTTGGGCTAATCAGCCAGTTGCAATTTCAGGATAGAAATACTACCACTCTTTAGCAATATCTTGTTAGGATTAATTCAAAGTATTATGTGTGGAAATAACTTTACAAGACTCCTTCTACCTTCATTATTTCCTTTATTTTTATAGTTTAATAAAATTAACCAATACAAAATACAGCAGCAGCATTTCTGAACATCCTGTTTGATGTTCTGTTGTTCTAGGTTTGTAATTATGTCTGTGTTGTTCTTTTTGTAAAGATCTTTTAACAACTGATAAAGCCTGATACTTTATGTCATCTTTTATTGTCTCTCCGTAGCAGATCTCTCACTGGCCTAGTTTCCCAGTTATTTTATTGCAGTCTGGAGTGTCTAGTCTCTCACCCCCACTTTTTTTTTTAAACCAATGTTCTGACCTTAAGATATTGCCTTATATGTGTTTAGCCAGATAGCTGAACTCTCATCATACCATTCTTTTACTCTATTTTTTCTTTCATCTTTCATCTACCTGAATTCCCTTTAGTCTTAAGTGTTTGGTTAGTTTGTTTTCTTTAAATTTAAAATAAAGTCAAGATTTTATTTATCTTAGAGTAGTTGGATAGGGATTTAGATACCGAGCCAGATGCATACAATACAATGAGTGTTGATGCTACAAGAGGTTTTTAAACATTTGGTACATATTCTGCCCAGAGCCAGTGTGGTGTAGTGGTTTGAACCCTGGACTATGACTGAGGAGATCACTGTTCAATTTCTCACTCAACCATGGAAACCCACTAGGTGACCTTGGGCAAGTCACACACTCTCAGCCCCAGAAAGTCCCATGACCTTAGGGTCACCATAAGTCAGAAACAACTTAAAGACACACAACAACAATAAAAACAACATATTCTGCCACTGTTTTTATCACTGCACTGGCTCCTGTTTCATTCCTGGTCTGAACTGAACTGCAGATATTAATCTGTAATCCCTAAATACTCCAGTTTGTCTGAAGGACTGACTCCTTCCATATACTGTATACCTGCCCAGTTCAGGAATGTTAGAAATCTTTCTTTAGGTGCATTTATCAAATTATGCTAAGCAAGTGGCTGCAAAGCCTTTTCAGTACTGGTGGAATGCCCATCCCAAAACAGCTGACTTGATGGTAATAGCATAATTTTTTGACCCAATATTTTTTGCACAAAATTTGTGTTGCCATTTTGTTGTCCATTTTGCAATCCTACACTCATCACATGTAGTGATGAATAGAGAAACCCTTTTGATGTCCTTTTCGATCTGCTTGGACTTTCTTCAGTTACAAAATTAACTCACCTCTGCCTCCAAATCACTTGTCCATAAATTAAATACTTTAATTTATCCATCGATATCTTTACTACATATAACTGCTCCGCTGTCAAAAATCAAACACTGCCCATTTATACTTACCCTCTTCTTCCAGTTGATTCATTGATTACTAATCCATCCTATGACTGCTCAATTTACTTTGCAGCATTTCATGAGGGCACTTGTTAAAATATTTATTGGAAATCTAAGTGGGTTACTGCTATGCATATACATGTTAATATGCTACACTCCCAAAGATCTGTGACATTGAGAAGACTTTACAGAAGTCATGCTGATTCTTCCAGAAAAGCTATGTCTATTATATACTCCTGCCAAAGGTAATCTTACTAATGGCTCATAAATAAGATGAATGGCATGCTTTCTTTTCATGCCACTGTAGTAGGACACATTAACATCCCATCTGTATCAGTAACTCGGCCTTTTTTAACTGCTTCTTGCAAAGCCTTCTAGAACTACATGGGAAGCAACCACACAGTTTAGGCAACATAGAAATTGGTCCTCCTTGATGAGTTACCCACACTTAAAAAGCTGTTGTGTACCTTCAAGTTTTTTTCTGTCTTATGGCAATCCTAAAACAAATATGTCATGTTGCTTTCTTGGCAAGATTTGTTCAGAAAAAGTTTGCCACTACTTTCTTCTGAGGCTGAGTGTTAGTTGCCCAAGATCATTCAGTGGATTCCCTAGATGAGCAGAGATTTGAACTCTGGACTCTTGGAATCCTAGTCCAGCACTCAAACCACTACACCACACTAACTCTCCAAGGCAGCTGACCTTGAAATAAATACAGTACAGTTGTCCCTCCCCGTTCACGGACCAGAGGCCCACGGTCTTGCTCTTCACAGGAAGAGACAGCTATACCTTAAATGGCCACCTGCACGCCATAGGGCACGCACCATTAGTTTAAATGGGGCTCGAATATTAGTGAACAGCCATTTTCGTAGGGGGCAGGCATTCGGAATGGATCCCCCATGAATTGGGAGGAGCAACTGTATACATGGGACATCTGTGAGAATAGTAACACTGTATCCAAGGAAGGAAGTAGAAAAACCACCTCTTGAGTATTCCTTGCTTAAGAAAACCTTATGAAATTTTAGGAACCACACAAAGCAACAATTACTTGAAAGCAGGAGGAGGAAGAGGCACTCCCAGACCCTCCTCAGCCTTCAGCTGCCTCTCAGGATACAGGCCTGTTCCTTTTCTTCCCCCTCAGGCTTCATCTGTCTCTGGCGAGGCAACTGAAAGCCCAAGAGGGTGGAAGGGGAAAGAAGTCCCACCCTTGGAGGGCACTCGGCCCCTAAAAGGTTCGCCATCACTGGTTTAGATTATATTTAATATTGTTATTGCCCTGACTCCCTTGGATGTTCTACATGTTTATCTCTGCCTCAAACTGCTACACATAAATGTGTAACACATTCTTGATTTGTTGGTATACTGGTGGATATATTACACTACACTTTCTTTTTTTTACACAATGAACTTTAGGATGTAATTAGGGGATAAGAAAGTAACTGACTATTCAATTTTTGCTGGCAAAATCCAAAACAAAATCTATTTCATAGCATATTTACCATTTTAAAGCCATGAAGAATTTACAATAAAATTGTAAAACACTATAGAATGGATGCAAAAACTACACTTTGATTTTACAGTTACACTCACATGGCAAATTAAGACTGATTAAATCAAACCAACTAAATAGGATTGACACTATCGCTTTCCATTTAAGAAACTGAAATCAATTCAAGTTGGTTAATGACTAGCTCATACAACTGATTATTTTGGGAACTTCTGCCATAACAGTATTAAATGACTAGATGCATTCATGAATGTAATCAGCTTTAAGATAAGCCTGGATGAGTAATTAAAATCATGGATAATTAGCCACTGACAGTTGGATTTATTTGTATAGGACACCAGGACTTTTATTTTTATATAGCACACATTTTCCCACCCAGATTCTTATTTGGAAGTGAACTATAATTCCTTGTGCTATGCATGGTCTTTCCAGATAAGGGAAATTATCTAGAAACGGCAAGAGCTTGAGGTAGGTTTAGTAACCATAGGTATATTTTAATCCAATAAACTTCAGCAGTATTGCAAAAATGGTGCATAATATTAAATATACACATTAAACATAAATCCTCTTGGAAGCAATCAGTGCAGAGGGTCTTTGATCTTCTTTCTTTCATGAAACTCAAAACATTTCTTGCAGTTTGAAATGGGTACTCTCTCACAAAAACAATGAAGCTTGCATGCAGATCTCTGTCCTTAAAACTGCATTTGTAAAAGAGAATTGCACTTTTTTATCTACTGAGGGCCTATAATCCAATTACACCAGTCCCTCCACATTTGCTGGGGACAGGGGCACAGCACCCTTGTGAATATGGAAAAACTGCAAATAACAAAAATACTATGGTTTTACCTTAGAGAACACCTCTTTAAGAATCTCATGGTCCTCCAGTGCAACTCTGTGGTCAACATCTGCTGGACATTGACCACAGAATTGTGCTGGAGGAGCTACTAATGCCTACTGGAGTGTTCTCTCTAGGAATCTCTAGGCCCTTCAGTGCAACTTTTGGTTAAAGTTGGCCATAGAGTTGCACTGGAGGACCTAGATATTCCTAGTGAGAACATATTAATAAATCCATGAATAATCAAATCCACAAAAATCAAAGCCGCAAATGTGGAGGGATGAGTGTTTATGAATCTTAAAATTATTGGCATTCCATGCTGTGTTTTAACATTACAATAGTGCCACAAATTAGATTAGGCTGCAAATCCTATCTTCCTTCACTTCCAGGCCATATTGAGGTGAGCTGTTCTTGTGTGAACAATTAAGGTCAGTAGAAGTAGTGATGATGCAGAGGTTGGCCAGCGGTTCTAGTATCTGATTTCACACTGAATAGGGCTCCACAGCAACGTACATTTGGCAAGCAGTATAGTGAAAGCAGTTATATGTATTTTGCTGGAAAAGTCCAACTTGGTGTCTTACAGATGAGTTGGACTGTATCCCCATGTTAGAAAATTGGTGGTGGTTAAAAGAATGGTAAGCTTAGTTCAGTAGCAGTAAGCGTGTACTCCACAGGTATATAGTAAAGGGCTAGATCTGAGCTTCTGGTAAATAAACAGGATACGTAGGTAGATAAAAATGAAACTTTATTGTTACATCTAGGTTCTAGAAAAATAATCAGTAGAGAAAACCTGCTTTGGTACAGAGATCCCTAAAAGCTGATCTCCATGTGTGTAAGTAAGAAGGAAAAAAACATATTTAGAAAGAGAGAGCCTTGTGGCTAGTCCATGCTGGCTGAAAGTAGAGAGAGGAAGAGACAGAACAAAGAGTTGTAATACTTTTAACCCCTGGAGGAGGGGGCAGGAAGTGACTTCTTTACAGAATCAAACTGACCAAATGACCATAGATATAATCAATGCATCTGTGAGGAAGACCACCCCTTCTCCAAAAAGAACATAGAGCTACAAGCATTGATGCTACTCCATCATCCCCAATATCTTTATGTTGGTGGGGATTATTGGAGCTACTATCCAACACATCTGGAAGGTGCCAAGTTTAGGAAGCCTACCCCAGAATGTGAGGTCTTGCTTCTGAATGAGCCTTTAAAAATATACCAAAATAATTATATTCCTCATAAACTTTACTTTAGCAAATATTTTGAAAGATATCCTACTAGAACTAGCAAGCAACTCACCTAGAAAGAACTATGCCCCTGGTTTCCAATTTGTATGTGTTGGCCTTGGGGCATCAAGGAGAAAAGTATGGACCAGAGATGATGCTAGAGGTATAAAACAGTCTCCTGATGATAGGCATGTATATGCTAATTTAAGTCCTTATTCAAGCTCTTTATCCATGTATAGTTTGAAAAAATAACCTGTAATCAATTTCAGCATTGTAAAAAAAAACTGTTATTTCTTAATGTTAAACTGTCTAACATTATGCTGTTTGGGACAAGCCACTAGAAGTGTGGTAACTGAATTAAACTGAATAAAACAAATGTATGAATACCAATTGCACTGTGCGGAAAACAGCAGATAGGAACTCTAGCATAGCTTATTCCTTGATTCTGGAGTTTGTGAAAAAGTGGTAGAGAAGTCACACCAACAGAATTTGTACAGATGTCACTTAGCTTTTGCAGACCACCTTATTAAACATATAAGCAAATAGTTAACTTTTGCTAAAGTAAATTGTTTTATTCATTTTACAGATTCCCATTTGTTTCTTGTTTTTCCTACTATGGCTCCTTCATCTGAACTTAAAGTGTGCATGTCTTGTGGCCAGAGACAATTCCATATCATGCACCCTGTTAAAAGAATTATGGTGGTGATGTGTTCCGACTGAACGCTAAGTTAAACAATATCCTATGGCCCACTGGCTTTCATCATGGAAGTGGCTATTTTTGAATATTTTGAATATCTCATTTCATTGCATTAAATGGATGGGAAATTATTTGCACAGGTCTAAACAACAACAAAAGGGAGGAAGGGAGGGAGAGGAGAAAAATAAGAAGGGATGACAGTATCTTTAAGACTGTTTTTTTAAATTATTTTAGCATGAGCTTTCGTGGATATAATCCCAATTCAGTCCTGAAATGCATGGGACAAATAAGACGGCTTCCAGCTGCTTTGGGGACACAGTGTTTACATGACGTATGCTCCCAAAGTGGCTGGAAGCTTCTCTGAAGCCACGCTAAGTAGGGAAAAGCCAGCCCCAAAAGAAGTGGATACAATCCACTCTTGCCAGCAGCTGATTTGGGATGTGGCAGCAGTAGCCAACTTGGGAATGGGCCATGCAGTTGCCGCAGTCTTGTATCTTAAAAGGTAACACTTTTTAATAATAATAATAATAATAATAATAATAATAATAATAATAATAATAATAATAATAATTTATTTATACGTCACCTTTAGCCGTAGTCATCAAGGCGGCTTACATCTAAAATCAATACATAAAACAATTCCTACAATAGGTTGCAAAACAATAAACTAACACTATTAACTCCCCCTTAAAAATAATAATAATCCCTTCTTGAATTGATGTTATGCATTGCCTATTTGCTGTTGTTCCCCATCTTGATCCATGGAAAGAGGAAGGTAAAACATAAATAAATGAGCTGCCTTGGGTCCCTTTTTGGCAGAAAGGTATCATAAAAATGAAATAAATAAATAAATAGAATTTCCCTTCTCCTTCTCCTTCCCTATCTCCTTTTTTTTTTTTTTTTTTTGGCTACAAGAAACTAATAGGGATGTTTCTCTGAAAACTTTCCACTAGTGTGGCTCGCAAATACAAGTTTGTTCCACATTATCTTTTGGCATCTTTACTTGCATTGACCAGTCACCAGCGAAGATCTTTATTTCCCCAGGCTGAAACTGATTTCATGATCTTTTGTTATGGTTGCTTTTGTCACTTTCCCCCCAGCTCTAATGACTGACTCTTTATTACCTAGTAATTTCTTTTGCATGATCCAGTGCAATTTAGCCTCCTGTGAAAGATGGGAAGTAGAATTCAGAAACACAACCGTCTTAGTCTGGAATATCAGTATGCCAAGGGATTTTGTAGCACCTTCAAGACTAACTATGCAAAAAAAGTTGTAGCATGAGTTTGCATAGACTTGATCTACTTCCTCAGATGCATGGAGTGAAATGATGCCCAGGAAGGACAATGAATAGCCCACAGGAATGCAAACCTTGTGGGTATGGTGACGTGGTTATAAGTTCCGTTTTAACTATGTACAATAACATCCTA